AAAGTAGGTTGAAAAAAGGGCTTTGAATACAATTTTTTGAAGTGAAATATAGAATAGGAATTGCACTTCTAATTTTTCAACAAAAATGTTCCAATTCCTTATTTTGATTCATAACAAACTGGTTTATGATCTTTAGGTTTCATTCCAGTAATTAAGAGTTTAACTTTTTATTAGAGGTTTTGAATTTGAATCTTGAGATAGATGAAATGAAATTTGGGAAATACATTATCCCTTACATATTTAGGGCATTTTTAGTTCAGTTTCTAAGTACTTTAACTTTTTGACACTATTCAGATTTCGTAAATTTAAATTTTTTTCCTTAAAAACTTACATTTTAAAACTTTTTTTTAATCTTAAAAAAATTTCAAATAGTAAAAATTCAAAAACTTCAAATTCAAGTTTTTCATAAACTCTCTTTTTACTCACTTTTTTCTATCTCTAAAAATAACTTTTAAATTTTTCCTCAAACAAAAATTTAAACTTATTACTCATGAACAGTATAAAAAAATAAAAACTCTTACAAGTTAACCCAAACATACTCTTATTCTATTTCATAAAAAGAAGGAGAAATAAAGATATATATAAATTTTAATATTTTTTCTATTTAAATATACAAGCTTTTTGGATCTTCTAAATCAAGGAATAAACTTTTTTTTTTTCAAATAAGACATGAAATTTGTGTTTTTTCTATTTAAAGATTTATTAAATGACAATGATAACATGCCAAGTGACAATCTTAATCAAAATAGAGCAAAGTTCACATTTTTAAATAAGAAAAATTAAAAGTTTACGCTTGATCTAAAATTCTAAAAGGTATATTTCCTTAAATAAAAAGATAACAAAATTCATATATTTAAATAAAAAAATAAAAGTTTACCATTTAATTTAAAACTCGAAAAGTGTCTTTAAATAAAAAAAAATGATAAAGTTCATATTTTTATTTGAATCTTTTCTTTATTATCACAGATATACAAAAATAAATAAATAAATAAATAAATAAATAAAACGAGCGGACTATACTCATGACAAAATTTAAAAGACTTAATGCGTCGTAAAGTCATTTTTCAATAAACTAGTGTATCAAATTCGTGAGTATATCCATGTGCCTGTGCATATAAATATATATTTACTTTACTCTCGTCATCTCACTCCGATATAGGAGAATTAGACTTTAAATGTGAACCACCAGAAGTGTTAAACAAGTAAGCCTAGAAGACGTGAAATTACAAGACGACAAAAGTCACACAAGAAAAAGTGGTGAAAAATGAACTGAGACCATATCAAAAGGAAAAGGCAGGGGGAGATTTGGTCTGTCTGCAAGAGAGGGAGAAAAGGACGGGACCGTAGGAGTCGTTCTTGGGAGTGATGGGGAATAGAATGATATTAGTGATCCTCTTTGTGACTTTCTTCTTCAAGAAATCGATCGAGCTTGATCCCCCCGAATCCTACCCTTTCATATCGATCCACCTTTACTTTGTGTGACACACAACAAAAATTAGAGGGAGGTGCCTGTGCTGTGCCCGTATTCATTCACGCAGATCCTTACAAGATCCTCAATTATTCAAAAGCCCGCAAGTTTTCTTATATTCCAATCATTTCGAATGCAAACTCTTTTGACCCTTCAAGTTCCCATTGGTGGTATTTTTTGAGAATATTGACTTTAGGGTATGAGATTCTGTTCGGATAGAATAGTGAAAATAAGATTGCACCCTTCACATCCATTTACTACAAAAAAAATTAATTTACTTATGTACTAGTTTCAAGATTTAAATTCTGAAATTAATTTACAAAATAATACTTATTTACTATAAATCTAAATTTTGAAGTTAGTATTTGATTATATAATAATTAATAATCATTGTTTAGTATAAAATGACAAACAAAAAAATTTTAAAAAGTAATTAATTATGTGTTCTTCTTAACACTAAAAGAATTTTTTATTATTATTATTGTTATTGTTCTTATTATTATTGTTATGCAATAACAAATAAAACATCCTTTTGTTATTTTTTAATAAAGAAATTAATTTATTATTTTTAAATACAAAAAATTACAAGCCACTTCATTAATTGATTTGTAATTCTAATTAGCAATTTTTTTTAAGGATAATGATACATACACCCTACACAGTTACACACTAACAGAAACCATTAGTGTCTAACGAAAACCGTCAATTTTAACGGCACAATTAATGAAATTTGTCAGTTTTAATGACATAACTAACAGAAACTTTTAACTTTAACAGTGCAAGTAATAGAAACTATCAGTGTGTAACAAAGTATGTAACAGAGTGTGTAACTTTACAGACTATACCAATCATTTTCCTTTTTTTAAATAAAATAAATTAGTTACCAACACATTAAATAACAAGTTAAAAAAAATTCCTTTTGAGACTTTTCTCTCCCATGTTTTGAAAACCCTAGGGTTTCAAAAGCGATAGGCTTTTCCCCCCTTCCCTCGAGACTTCTCTCTGGCTTAGAAGCTCCCTCCCTTCTCTATTGCATACAACTACTCCTCTTGCTTACCCTTTCCCTTGCTTCTTTTTGGTTTTCCCTTTCACTTTGGTTCAATCTTTTTAGATCGAGGGAGCAATTTCAAACTGGCCGTTATGAGGCTATTTCATATCTACGAATTGCTAGGGTGGCTGTGGACTGTTTAGGTGGGTTGCACTTGCTAGGGTGGTTGCGGTTTAGTGGTTCAAATAATTTAGATTTGGGAATGGCAGATGAAGAAATCAGAACCATGCTCAATCATGTTTGTCTCACAGAAGATAAAGATGGCATTCTTCCTTTACTCTCGGTTTGGAAACCAAATGATTCTAAGGTGGAAAAGTCGTAGTTGGTGGGGAAGATTTTTTCCCTCAAAGTATCAATTTATATGGCCTCCATAATGCTTAATGGTCTCATGGAATCCTGGAAAGCTTTTACAATTTTCAAGATTAGGGAAAAGATCTATCTATTCCAATTCTCTGATATTGGAGATCTCAACAAAGCATTACATATAGGACCCTGGAATGTTAGCAACTCCGTGCTAATTCTCAAATGAGTTCAAGCTCGTTTAACTGCAAAGCAATATAATTTTTCTACAAATGCATTTTAGGTTCGAATCTTTGATGTCCCTATTGGCATGCAATCAAAACAAGTTCGACTCTTGATTGGGAATTCCTTGGAAAAGGTTCTAGAATTAGATGCAAGTTTTCATAAGGCTATCAAAGTAAGAATTGATTTGGAGGTGAATAAGTCACTACAAAGATTTAAAACTTCCCAGATTTTTGCTATAAAAAATTAGAAACTTCAAATCAAATATGAACTACTTCTAGAGTTCTACTTTGTTTGTGAATGCATGGGCCATCTTGAAACTGATTGTGAAATTGCAAATTGTATCAAAGACATCGAGGGCAACATTGTTCATCAATATGGACCTTGGTTAAAAACTGAATTGGAAAACTCATGGTGCCCAGATGATTTTGAATTTTAGATGAAACCCTCTCTGCAAATACTCAATTTCTACCTGAGGATAGGAATGAAAGGAACAAGGAGCATTATGAGCTGGTAACATAGCATGCCAAATAAAGGGGCACAAGGATACGAATGTTGGAGATATACAAGCAAGTAATTTTGTAACCACCAATGCAAGCCAAATAGGAGGGAACAATGTCATTGTTATGGGTGAAACTACAATTGAAATGACTTAGCTTCTTGCCACTGATATGGGAGAAAGGTCTACTGCAAGGAATGTGGGACGTGTTGATATTTTGCTAGCTTTGATGAATGATCAATTAGTGGAGGTACCTTTAGTCATTGGGTTGGGCAATGGTAAACAGTCAAGAAATCATCGTGATGGTGGAAAAGGAAGCAGAGGCAAATGGAAAAGAATAGGACATGAGGTGGGGCTTTTAGTGCATGTGGACAAACCTAACCAAGGAAAAAGAAAGTATAGTACAACAATTTTAGAGGAACAAGAGGCTAACAAGGTGATTTTAAATAATACAAGGGTGACTATGATTCTTGAGGAGGTGAATGGTGTCCAGGGCATTACTTTGGCCATACAGACAAATACTCTCTCCGTCTACTGGTTAAAAATCCATCACGGATGGACAGTATTTTAGTGCTGGGAGACACTACATCAACAAGTCCACTAATCTCCTATGCTAAGTTTGGGTGATAAAATAGAAGTGATTGCCAACAGTGTCACTAAGCTCCA